CTGTACACACACCGTTTAAACTGAACACACCTGCGAAAGACCTTCACGTAACTTCAGTGACTTTAGTGCCTTCAGTTAAATGTAGCGGCGTCATTCCATGTTCCAAACGTGTGCAACCTACAAAATTAATAAGAACTGGGGAAGTGTATGAATCCTTCCTATTGTTTCATCCGTCCCAGGAGGACGACCAGGTGGAGACTCCGGAGACTCCATTTTTGACCAGTGCCGAGAAACCCAAGGCAGATGTCAGTGGGATTGTCACTTTTACTGAATAAATTTTGACTATATAATATATATATATAACACACCTGCGAAAGACCTTCACCTTAACTTTAATGACATCAGTTAGAATGCGGCGCCGTCTTTACATGTTCCAACATGTGCAACCGGCTTCTTTTTTTTTGCTTGACCAGGAGGATGACCAGATGGAGACTCCAGGTTTGGCACGGGTCAGTGCCGAGAAACCCGAGGCAGATTTCACCCGGGTTGTCACTTTCAACAGGGTTTCCTTCATATTTATTCAATATGTGTGTGTTTCTGCTCTGCAAACGCATATATATATATAATTATGCGTGTATATATATATATATGTATGTGTGTTTGGGTAAATATACATAAAATTGTAGGAATTTCATCGCTCCTCCTCCAGGAGGTTTGGAAAGAATCTCTACAGTCAGTCAAGAAGCGCAGTGATGGCATGTGCGTGGGCCTTCTTATCAAGAAAACGTATGCTGAGCGATTTTTTGCGTCCAGAGCCACACCAGAAAGTCTATGAGATCCGCTCTATGCCTTGCAAAAACCTCTCACCTGGTGAAAAGATCTGCATCATCAGCAGTGGCCATGGCACAAAAGGTCGGGTGAGTTGCAGGTTTATTGTGGGCGTCTTTGAGTTCAAAGGACAGCTGCAAGTGCCAAAGAACCTCGTGCCAAAATATTATGCGCTTCACCAAGTATCCCAAGAAGAATTTGATGCGGTCGGAACGAGTTGGCAAGGAGATTCTGTTTGGATGTGGCATTTGGAGCTTGACCGCCTTTGACCCACAGTTGGAGCTGCCTGTTTCCATTGGCCCTCAGGTTTGGATCCATTTTGACCCGAACACATGCTCACAGGGAATGGTCGCTGTGCAGGACAATGCAAACCGCCCTCTCTGTGTCTGTGTGTGCTTCGATTCATTTTCACCCACCCACCCCACCCCACCCCACACCTATAAGTTAAGTAGTATGCCTCCATTTAGGATTCACCAGAGAGGGTCTGGGAGGGCTTGGGGGGAGACGGTGACCGGGACCGGACGCGTGAATCTACACAAGGGATATCCAACAACACGGACTGAGGCTCACACAACGAAGTTCCTTAGCAATGACCACGCACCAGTTGTCGCAATCAGGAGGAAAGGAGGAGGAGGAGGAGGAGGAGTGACTTGAGGAGAGGAAGGTAAGGAGAGCGAGAGCAGCAAGCGATCTGATTGGCACGGCTGGAGGCTAGGAGCAAAAGCGGTGGAGCTAGGGTGCTCTTGTGGGATGCTCTTGTGGGACATTGTTGCTGAACACTCTTGTAGGACACTCTTATGGGACACTCTACACTCTTGCGTGATACTCTTGCGGGACACTCTTGCGGAACACTCTTGTAGGACACTCTACACTCTTGCAGGACGC